GGTGGTGGAGCTGCCCAAGACCGAGGAGGGTTTGGGCTTCAACATCATGGGGGGCAAGGAGCAGAACTCGCCCATCTACATCTCGCGCGTCATCCCCGGCGGCGTCGCCGACCGCCACGGCGGCCTCAAACGCGGCGACCAGCTGCTCAGCGTCAACGGCGTGGTGAGGATCCGGGGGGAATTCCCGGGATTTTGGGGGTTTGGGTGGAAAAATTGGGGTTTTGGGTGGAAAAATTGGGGTTTTGGGTGGAAAAATTGGAGTTTGGAGTGGTTAAATTGGGGTTTGAAGGGTTAAATTGGGGTTTTGGGGTGGTTTAGGGGGTTTGGGTGGGATATGGGGCCTCAAACGCGGCGACCAGCTGCTCAGCGTCAACGGCGTGGTGAGGATCCGGGGGGAATTCCCGGGATTCTGGGGGTTTGGGTGGAAAAGTTGGGGTTTTGGGTGGAAAAATTGGAGTTTGGAGTGGTTAAATTGGGGTTTGAAGGGTTAAATTGGGGGTTGAAGGGTTAAATTGGGGTTTTGGGGTGGTTTAGGGGGTTTGGGTGGGATACGGGGCCTCAAACGCGGCGACCAGCTGCTCAGCATCAACGGCGTGGTGAGGATCTGGGGGGAAGTCCCGGGATTTTGGGGGTTTGGGTGGAAAAGTTGGGGTTTTGGGTGGAAAAATTGGAGTTTGGAGTGGTTAAATTGGGGTTTGAAGGGTTAAATTGGGGTTTTGGGGTGGTTTTGGGGGATTTGGGTGGGATATGGGGTGGCAAACTGCCACGGCGGCCTCAAACGCGGCGACCAGCTGCTCAGTGTCAACGGCGTGGTGAGGATTTGGGGGGAATTCCCGGGATTTTGGGTTTAGGGTGGAAAAATTGGGGTTTGAAGGGTTAAATTGGGGTTTGAAGGGTTAAATTGGGGTTTTGGGGTGGTTTAGGGGGTTTGGGTGGGATATGGGGACTCAGATGCAGTGACCAGCTGCTGAGCGTCAACGGCGTGGTGAGGATTTGGGGGGAATTCCCGGGATTTTGGGGTTTTGGGTGGAAAAATTGGGGTTTGGAGTGGTTAAATTGGGGTTTTGGGGTTTTGGGTGATTAAATTGGGGGTTTGGGGTGGTTTAATTGGGGTTTGGAGCAGTTCAATTGGGATTTTGGGTGGCTTTTGGGGTCAGGGCAGTTTTTGGGTGGATTTTTGGAGTCGGGGCAGTTTTTGGGTGGGATTTTTGGGCCTGGTCCATTTTTGGGTGGGATTTTGGGATCGGGGCAGTTTTTGGGGCTCCATCTGAGTTTTCGGGGCACAGAGCGTGGAGGGGGAGCAGCACGAGCGCGCGGTGGAGCTGCTGAAGGGATTTTGGGGTCGGGGCAGTTTCTGTCTGGGTTTTTGGGGCCTGGTCCATTTTTGGGTGGGATTTTGGGATCGGGGCAGTTTTTGGGGCTCCATCCCGGGTTTCGGGGCGCAGAGCGTGGAGGGGGAGCAGCACGAGCGCGCGGTGGAGCTGCTGAAGGGATTTTGGGGTCGGGGCAGTTTCCGTCTGGGTTTTTGGGGCCTGGTCCATTTTTGGGTGGGATTTTGGGATCGGGGCAGTTTTTGGGCAGTTTTTGGGGCTCCATCCCAGGTTTCGGGGCGCAGAGCGTGGAGGGGGAGCAGCACGAGCGCGCGGTGGAGCTGCTGAAGGCGGCGCAGGGCTCGGTGAAGCTCGTGGTCCGGTACACGCCGCGCGTGCTGGAGGAGATGGAGGCGCGCTTCGAGAAGCTGCGAACGGCGCGGCGCCGGCAGCACAACAGCTACTCGTGAGCGCCCGAGTCCCAAAATCCGGGCGCCCGAATCCCAAAATCCGGGCGCCCAAATCCCAAAACCTGAGTGCCCGAATCCCAAAATCCGGGCGCCCAAATCCCAAATCCCTGAGCGCCCGAATCCCAAAATCTGGGCGCCCAAATCCCAAATCCTGAGCGCCCGAATCCCAAAATCTGGGCGCCCAAATCCCAAATCCTGAGCGCCCGAGTCCCAAAATCTGGGCGCCCAAATCCCAAATCCCTGAGCGCCCGAATCCCAAAATGTGGGCGCCCAAATCCCTGAGTGCCCGAATCCCAAAATCTGGGCGCCCAAATCCCAGATCCCTGAGCGCCCGAGTCCCAAAATCTGGGCGCCCAAATCCCAAATCCTGAGCACCCAAATCCTGAGCGCCCGAGTCCCAAAATCTGGGCGCCCAAATCCCAAAACCTGAGCACCCAAATCCTGAGCGCCCGAGTCCCAAAATCTGGGCGCCTAAATCCCAAAACCTGAGTGCCCGAGTCCCAAATCCTGAGTGCCCAAATCCCAAATCCTGAGCGCCCAAATCCTGAGCACCCAAATCCCAAATCCTGAGTGCCCAAATCCCAGATCCTGAGCGCCCAAATCCTGAGCACCCAAATCCCAAATCCTGAGCGCCCAAATCCTGAGCGCTCAAATCCCACATCCTGAGTGCCCGAGTCCCAAAATCTGGGCGCCCAAATCCCAAATCCCTGAGCGCCCGAA